TGAGGTTATATATGACCTCATTGGGTAAGCAGGGAAGCGAGGCTCCAATAAGGAAAGCAGTTTGTCCCTGCGCACACAGTTCAGTCTCAGAGGTAGGAGAAACCTGAGGTCGAGCTGGCGTCCAGGTGCCGCTTTTCACAGACACTGCTCCTCTCTGCTCCACGTGAGCTGAGGTCCGGCTGTAGCTTTAATGCTCCTGGGCACTGGTGTGTTAATGCCACTCCCATAATAAAACCTGGTCAGTGGCTCCCTTTTATTCATAGGCCATCTGTACTGCTCTACCAACCGCCACAGGGTGGCCCTCACATCAGGGGCTGGTGGACCCAACCTGAGATTTGGTACCAGAAGGGAGACCTGAATTAAATCTACGTTCCAGCTACGTGACCTTGAGCAGATGGTTAATCTTTCTGAGCGTCATGCTTTTTAGTTCATTCATTGAATCATAATTGTGCATTTGCTGGGGGCTGCTGAAGAATATCCACATGCCTTCAAAGAAGTTTGAAGAACTTCTAGATCAGCGTTTCTCAAAGCAGGCGATACTGCTCCCTGGATGCGTGCTGGAACAATCCAGGGGGGCTGTGAAAACAGATACCTGTGCCGATACTTAATCCTCGATTGTGGGATATAGCACAGACGTTCTTAATTGCCGGAGGGACGCTGAGTAATTTTTGTTTGTTTCCCTCTGGAAAAAAAGGCAGAAGACCAAATAAGCTTGGGAGGCTGTCTTCTGGATGGACATTGTCTTCACCATTGTGCACCAGAGGGAGGGTGGTAATCCTGTCTCCCGGGGATTGTGGGGGATCAGCAGAGATGACGGGAGTTGAAGAGGCTGCCCGCCGGTAAGGTGCTTGTCACCCGCAGCTGCCTGTCACACGCTCCCTTCTGCTCCTTCAGCTCTTCTCTGCCTGTCGGCGTCTGTTTGTGATTTTGATGGCTCATTTCAAAAGGCACTGTTTCATTAAATCTTCCCAGGACCTTCCTGCTTCCTAGATGATCCATTCGTTCATGGAGTGACTCAGGAACATGTACGAAATACCTCCTAGAACAGTCTTTCTCAGTGTGCGCGCCACAGACCCTCTCGGCGAGCCTACAAGGTCCATTTTCTTTCCATTATACGAAATACTACAGTGTTCCCCGGCTTTCTCAGCGTGGTGATAATTTGTAGTGGTGGTGCTGAAGGCGTGGCGACAAAACATACCGTAGCCGTACTCCTCGCTGCCACCCACTCCTCGTATCACGGACACGCAAACAAGACACTCTCCCTCCGAGTATTCTGTAAACGTCTACTGTTGTGAGGTGTTGTCGACCCGCCTCCGCCTCTCCCATGTCCGACAAAACACAGCACTGCCTGGTCCTGCCATGCCATCCCTGCGGTCGTGCCTGGCCTGTTGCGGCAGCCACTGCGTCGGTGCATCTTGTGGAGGGCCCTCCTTGTTTTCCCCCTCCCTCCACTTTAGTGTCCCTCCTGGTCACGTGTCTACAGCGCATGAGACAGAGCCTCCCCACCCTCCCGTCTGTAGTTGCGCTTCCTCCAGGACAGATGGGTTAGTTCATTTGGCAGGGTCCCAGCGACTTTCGATCTTCGTCACCGGCAGCATAATTGAAGTATCCCAGGTCTTCTTCGGCCCGCCTTGCTCACGGTCCAGTTTTCCCAGGCTTCCGAGGCGACAGAAAGGGCTGTGGCTTGGTCCAGGCGCACGGAGCCCTCAGAGTGACGTCTTCGTTCTTTAACGTGTTTTCAGGCCTGGTGCAGAGATTTGCCCGGGGCAGTATGTCCTTTGGCTTCTTCACTGTTGCTTCCTTGACCGTGGTCATGGCATTCTGGAGAGCTTCAAACGTTTCTGTTTTTCATGATGGGTGTTGGCTGTTAGTATAGGTATGAGGATGTCCGTTTCTTTACATTGACTTGTCTTCCATCTGCAGACTGCAGTTTTTGGTTTTTCGTCAGTAAATGCTTCCACTTCTCTTGGCCCGACGCAGTACACGTACTAATTTTAATTGGGCGCAAATCTTGTCCCGATGATTCTCGATAGCGAAAAGGAAGGATAAAGTTCTTCTGATAATGAGATACTTCAGTTGCCTTGAGGAAAAGCACGTATGCGATTGCTTGATTTGTAGGTTACATTAGCTGATTTTTATATAATACCATTTTTGCTTGGGAAAAATGTCAAATTATGATTATTCAGACTTGGGCATTTGGCAGACATTTTCTCACAAAGCAAAGAAGTGAGCCTGTCATGTCCATAAAAAGATCATCGGTTTTGTTGCCAGTAGTAAAAGCCTATCCTTTCATCAAGAATTAGGATTTTGAGAAATGTATATCAGCTACCATGAGCTTAGCCATTTCTTAATGTTTAAAGACTTTTGAGGAGTGGTGATGAGAACCAATGATATGTGTCAACTTGGAGAAACCTGAAGAAGAACTCAGCCACCCCAAACTCACGCTCTCAAGCCGGTGCTGCCTCGTGGTGACCCTGTCGGACAGGGAAGACCTGCTCCTGTGGGTTTCCGAGAGTCGGGGAGTAGAAAGCTGCTTCTTTCTCCCACAGGGGGCTGATACTTTCAAACTGCTGACCCTTTGGATCCCAACCCAATGTGGAACCACTACACCACCGGTGAACCAATGTTTTTTGGGGACTACTGTGGGATATTACAGGCACGACACACGGGGAAGGGTTCATTGAGAGGTTTGTACCTGGCCTTTAGGGAATCACCACTTGGTGAGTTTTGGTGTAATCTCAAAGAAGAAGGTCCATAGGGAACTGGAAGGATGATTCAAATATTCCTTCCCTTTCTGTCTAATGTGAGGCCACACTTTCTTTGTATATTGCAACCCACACATCCCAACAGATTGAATGTAGAAGCATAAATGAGAATCTAGTTGTCTTCTATTAAACTTGACATAAAAGGGGTTTGCAAAAATGTAAAATAGTTTTGTTTTGTTTTTTGTAAAATAGTTTTACTATTCTCATCAACCTTTCCTTTGTTCTAGAAAATATACTTTGTGGTTTTTATGAAATCTGAATTTGTGTTAACCTGTGAGGGAGTTTGGAGTTATTGTACTTTTGATGAATTACTATTTTAAAAATTTCTCAGTTTCAGTTTCTAATAGTAAGTATCAATAAGTCACCCCTTTTAAACAAAAGCACTTTAGGTTCTCAATGTTTAAGATTATAAAGAGGAGAAGATAAACAAGCGGCCAACCAGCTCAGAAGCAACAAAGCCCACATGGAAGAAGCACGCCAGCCTGTGTGACCATGAGCTGTCGAAGGGATCAGGTATCAAGCATCAGAGAACAAAAAATCATATCATTGTAAATGTGGGTGAGTGCAGAGTGGAGACTCAAAGCCCATCAGTAGGCAACAGGACACCCCCTTACTGAAGGGTTGTGGGAAGGAAATGAGCCAGTCGGGGTGCAAGGTAGCAACGATGAAATATATAACGTTGCATTTCTCTCTCTCTCCAAAATGTAATGATAATTGTAACACTTCCTGTGTAAAGTGGATATGAGAGTTAAGTGCTATAATGTGTAATTCTGCAACAAATACAGCAAGTAAGAATGTATTTGTTGGGAACCAGCTATACATCATATATTCTTTTGTCTGGACTCACAGTAGCGAGGAAAAAAAAGAATGGAGATGGGACTCATAAGAATGCACCTAGAACTGTACCTGGTGTTGGTAAAATAATCAATAAAAGGTGCCCGTTGTCACTGTTATTTGTGGGTAGTGCTCCCAGGTTCATAAACTCATGAGCAAGCCAGAGAGAAGAGCATGGGAAACAGGCTTCAGACAAACATCATCCTGAGTGTGCCAGTCTCAGCAAGGAATGATTGTCTCTGTAAGCAAAGGCTGGGTTGTGTGACCATGTATCGGGCTTTTCAGACACACACACACACACACACACACACACCAGGCTAGGTTGTGTGACCATGTATCGGGCTTTTCACACACACCCACACCAGCATTCACTGACGTGCTGCCTTCAGGCACAGAGGACAATGTATATGTTTAAACTGGAATATAAATGGATGTCTTTTATCAGTAGGCCATTCAGTTCCATCGCAGGCACACAGAAAGCATGCTTTTCAAAGCTGGTCACATGTCAAATTGTGAGCATGCATTCTGTAAGAATTCTGTGCCATAGGAAGGGTTAGTGTGAGTGTGGAGATAGAAGAGCCAATTGTCCTTTTTGTTGTTGTGCACTTAAGATAAGAGCTACCCTTATGAGTTCTAATTCACTTTTTCACACCGGCCCGCATTCATGTGCAGTGTTTGTGTCTTGGGGTGCATATGTATCTTCTCTTTGCTGGTCTGCTTTTGCCCCTGACCTTGTTTCGTGTTGTCCTTTCTTTCCCTGTGCCCTCAGAGTCCACATCCCTCTCCTTGTAATGGCAATAAGAGAATCTCTGCCCTGGTTGTTGTTTAACTTTTCTTCAACTACTGGACATTTGGATCGGTCCCAGTAGTCACGGTTAGGATCATATTTGCTGTAAACATTGTGCAGAGAGCTTAGTCAGCAACTTATTAAGCACTTTCTGGAGTGGGATTCTCTGCCAGAGTCTTCGAAGTGATGTCAAGTCATTAAATTAAGAGTCTAAGAAATGGTATTTGGGATATCCTGAGACAGCATCTTAAGCTTTGACTTATTTTTCTTCATTCAATCAGCAGATATGTGTGGAGGGCTATTGTGGCCCGGGCAGTTGGCCAGGTACTGGTTGACAAGGTAAAAATCGTCCATGACTCAAGGGGTTTCTGGCTAGATCTTAGGAATTAAATTGTGTCCCTTATCCTTCCACATGTTAGAGTCCTAGCCTCAGCCCGTGAATGTATCCTGCTTAGAAACAGGGTCTTTGAAAGTGCTGTGAGCAAGCATGACGTCATAATGAAGGGCGGTGGGGGCCTGACCTGTTGGGAGTGGTAGCATATGAAAGAGACAAGCAGGCCGTATGAAAGCCAAGGAATGCCGGAGAATACCAAGGACTAGGCAGAGGCATGGAATGGGATCTTCCTCAAAGCCTCTGAAGGAACGGGCACAGCTGACACCCTGATCTTAGGTTCTCAGCTTCCAGAACGGTGAGACAAACTCTTCCTCTTCTTATAAGCCACGTAGTTGGTGGGACTGGGGTATGAAGCCCTACAAAAACCAGTAGGGGATTACAAACAAGGTCACCAAGTGCGATGAAAACAGAGATCACATTAGTGTTGCTATCTGTGTGTGTCAGCGGACCCTTGGTTTGGGCACAGTAAGCGCCCAGATGTGGTTCATTGTAACTGCTTTAGATTCACTGGGCACGATGAGGAAGAGGGAGGGGTAGGCCAGTCAAAATGGTAAAAGTTTTTGCTTTTTCTAAATTTGACTTAACAAAATGATGGCCAGACATTGGAGTCACATGGCATGGGGGAGAGCAGAAGGACTGAGTCAGGTGGTCCTGAGTTTGAATCCCACTCTACACCCTTTCGACTGATTGTTTTGGAGGACACACTTGACTCCTCTGGATCTCAGTGTGCTTTGCTCTAGCATGGCAGAGTATTTTCTGCCCCTTGAGTGGTTGTGGATCCCCACTACCTAATGCATTGTGTGGCAAAAAGGAAGTGCTCCGCAGTTGGTGGTTGGGTGAATTTTAAAAAATAATACATGACTGATTGGATAGCTAAAGGAAGTGATCACTCTAAATTGAAAAGACTGAGGGCCTCTATACTACATCTAAATACTTCTAGTGGGCGAGACCAGAGCATGTACACTGGTACAGATAAGAGCTCTGGACACAAGGAATCCAGGACAGATAAACCCCTTAGGAATAGTAATGGAAGTAGCTATACCATGAGGGTGGGAGAGAGCTGGGGGGAGAAAGGGGAAACAGATCGCAATGATCAACATATAACCCACCCACCCACCCCCGCACTGGGGTGACGAACAGCAGAAACATGGATGAAAGAAGACAACGGACGGTATAGGATATGAAAATAAAAATTATTTATAATTTATCAAGGGTTCATGAGAGTGGGGGAGGGTGGGGGAAAAGAGGAGCTGATACCAAAGGCTCAAATAGAAAGAAAATGTTTTGAAACGGATAATGGCAACAACATATGTACAAATGTGTTTGATACAATGGATGTATGACTTGTTATCAGAGCTGTAAGAGCCCCCAATAAAATGATTTCTTAAAATAAAAATGTAAAATAATAGATAAATACTTCTAGAGCAAGTTATTTAACTATATTAGTTTGAGGTTTACTAAGCAGATTTCTTCAAGTTAGAGGAAACCAAATTAAGCCATAAATCTGTTTTGCTACATCTCGTGTACCGAGGCTATAATCTGAGCAATGGTGAACCTGACAGTGGTGACTCACAACATAAGCTACATCCTCTGGTTCCATCTAAGGACCTCTGCTCATTTCATCAGTTTTGTTGGCCGGTTTGTTTCCAATTTAGACCTGCTACCTTGTGGTCACCTAAGGGCTATCATGGGTCAGTGCTTCATGACCAGTTTCAAAGTTGTAAATCAAGGAGATAGCTTGAGGGAGATGATTATCATTCAGGTCCTATCTTTCAGGAGGAAGCAAAGACTATCTTTAGGATCCTCACGAACATTTATTTCCCTTTTGTGGTCTTAGTAGGAAACCCTTGGGACCATCTGATGTGTGGACATCCATAGTGTCTGTCACATTTCTATGTAAATAAATGAACACCCACCCACCCAGCTGGTCCATGGAAGAAACCAGCCCCAAACCAAACTCACTGCCATCGAGTCAATGCTGACTCATAGCAACCCCCTGGAAGGTTCTGAGACTGTCCCTGTTTAGGGCCGTTGAAAGCCCAGTCTTTCTCCTGAGGAGCTGCTGGTGGTTTCAAACTGCCAACCATGCGGATCACAGTCTAATGTGCAACCCCCGTACCACCAGGGCTGCTCAGTGGAAGAAAAGACCAGGTAATCTGCTCCCATCAAGAGGAGAGCCTAGGGAAACTGTATGAGGCAGTGCTGCAGTGTCACAGTGGGTCACTATGAAGTCAGAAACTGCTTGAGGGCACCTGACAGCAACCAACTGGAAAGGGGGGTGGGGGTGGGGGTTGGGGAGACCAAAGTTTAAGCTCAGTGGATATGAGTCACTTACACCCATAGCCATTAAGGCTATTGTGACTCAAAGTGACTCTATATTAGTATTTTCTAGACTGTTAATCTCGCTGGGGAGTGGACATACACCTCTTTGTCCCAGAGAATGGCTGGTAGGTTTGAATGGCCTCTTTTGCAGCTGAGTGCCTAACCCACAGCACCACCAGGGCACCACAAGAGTCCCTATAGGGTTCATGTTTTGCACTAGGGAATTGAAGACCCTTACCTTCCTAGTTTGAGATTTTAATAATTCTATTGACTGAAAGATAGGAGCCCTAGTGGCACAGGTTACACATTGGGATACAAACTGCAAGGTCAGCAGTTCGAAACCACTAGCCACTCTACAGAAGAAAGATAAGGTTTCTACTCCCACCAAGACTTAGGTTTGGACACCCATCGGGGCAGTGTTCCTCTTTCCCATTGGGCTGCTATGAGCCAGAATTAACTGGTGGTGGTGAGTTTGAGCTTTATTGGTGAAAACAGAATGTCACAAAGTCATGTCATTGTGTCTTTTTGACTATATAAGGCATTTGTCTGGAATAGATTATGGATAACTGTGATGAATGAGAATTCCAGAACACTTAACTGTGCTCATGCAAACCCTGTAGATAGGCTGAGAGGCTGGTTTAAAGTCATGGTTTAAAGTCATGAAAGGTGTGTATCAGGGTTTTACCCTTTGATCATACTATTTAGTCCGTATAACTTACTGCTATGGAGTCAATTCTGACTCGTGGTGACCCTATAGGAGAGCGTAGAGCTTCTCTTGCTGGTGTCTGAGACTGAAACTCTTTATGGGAGTACAAAGCCCCATCTTTCTTCCATGGAGAACCTGGTGGTTTGGGAACTGCAGATCACAGCCCAACACGGAACCAATCCACCACCAGGGCTCCTTATTCAGCCTGCTTACTGAGCGTATAATTCAAGAACTTGGAGTACGTGAAAAAGAATGAGGTATCAGGATTGGAGGAAAAGACTAACAGTCTGACGTGTGCTTGATACAACTTTGCTTGCTGATGCCAAAGAGGACTTGAAGCATTTGCTGATAAAGATCAAAGACTATAACCTTCAATGTGGGTTACACCTCCGTGTGAAAGAAACTCCTCATAAATTGGACCAATAAACAACAACAAGGCAAATGGAGAAAAGATTGAAGTTGTCAAGGAATTTCTTTTACTTGGATCCACAATCAGTGCCCATAGAAGCAGTCAAAAAGTCAAATGGCATCGCACTGGGCAAATCTGCTACACAAAGGTTAAAAAGCTAAGGTACCACTTTGAAAACCTGGCCCAAGCCCTGGCATTTTTAATCATTTCATATGCATGCAAAAGCAAGACATGGAATTAAAAAAAAAACTACAGGAGAATAGATGCATTTAAATTACATAAAATTAGTGAAGCATTTTGAAAGTACCATGGGACTAGCAGTAGGACTAGCAAATCCGTCAGAACCAAGTACAGCCAGAATGCTCCTTAGGTGGGAGGATGCCATGATTTTATCTCAAGTCCTTGGGCCATGTTGTCAGGAAGGTCCAGCCCCTGTAGAAGGCCATCATGCTTGGCCAAGTAGAGGGTCGGTGAAAAAGAAACCCCTCAAGGAGAGAGTCATACAATAGCTCCCTCAGCGGACTCCACCCTAGCAAGGATCATTCCATTCGGTTGTTGCCAGGAGTAGAAATCAGCTCGATGGCACCTCACCACAGCAGCCTTGGGTGTAAGCTGAGGAGAAATGTTTTTGTGCTGTCACGATTCCCTATTGCATTTCTCCCCCTCTTCATTTTTCAACGACAAGGGGGGAAAAAAAGAGTAAAAGTTAAAATAGAGAATTGAAGTCTGGAATTCACACCGATGAAATGCCACCCTGAGCAGTGTCCAAAATCCTATGTTGGAACTGGCCAAAGGGCTGTTTACAAACTACTTCCCCAATTAGACTGAGTGAAGCAGAAATCAATAAAACAGTATTTGAGGGGGACGGAGAGAGGGGGAAGCCAGTGGTGAAGCTTCCTTTGCAGAGAACAAGGGTTTGGGGCCATTCAGTATATTAGCAGTATTTGATTGATGCTCTGCCCATGTTTGGGGGTCAGAAAAACAGGAAGAAAGGAAGGCGTTTGTGAAGTCTGGACACAAGGTGAACACGACAGTGAAATGGAACCCATCGTTAAATCACACACACACACACACACACACAATGTAAGCATCCAGGTGTGCAACCTAAGAAAATAAACTGTGTGAGGGAGCATGCTTTTGACTTGGATAATGCATGTTTAATAATGGTTACTTATCAATTCCTACTCCTGAATAAGCCATCCAAACAACATACATTCCCAGACAATTAAATAGGATTCCACATCACAGACAGCCCAGCCCGTAAGCTTTAAAGCAGTCGAATAACGCTTGACTACAGCTTGCATCTTATTTATTGCATTCTATTTACTGCCAAGGTAAGAAGGCAGAGGGATGTCAATCCCAGGTCTCTGTGTAGGTAATCTCTACTGTTAGCATCTGACCACGGCCTTGGACTGGACATTGCTGGCCTTATTTCTCAAGTGACTCGAGTGTAATAATACACCCAGCTGTTTGTTGCGTGGGCATGAAGGCTAGCGTCTGACATATAAAAGCTTCAGAAAGACGATGCCCTAAGAAAAGGAGAACAAAGGCACTAGACAAATACCGGTGGACCGAGCTCTGTGAGGCCCGGGAAAGCGGGAATGGTGCATTCACAGAGCAAGAGCCTCGTCTCTGTAGGGGGCATCCACTGTCCTTTGGGGAAATGCCAGAGGGCTGGGAGAATGGCCATCCCCTTGACACCAATGCTGACCACTTGGTGCATGGTGATAAATGGGGTTCACTCAGGAAGGAACACTGCTCTTCTGGAAAGCACCCATATTGGTGAAACAGCCAGCAAGTCCAAATGCCTTGGGCATGCCTGGCAGGAGGGCTCTGTGCTTTCCTGTGGACCTCTTCT